TTCCCTTAGAGGAGGTACAATTTGAGGCTTGGTTCCCCCTTGAGGAGGTACAACCGGAGGGTATGGCTGAAACTGACCATGTTTCATTGGATCACACATAGGTGGGGCAACTGAGTAAGGACCTGGTCCAGTATCTATAAAGTTATGCTATAAGACAGTAAATTCAGAACAAACTTTCCAACAATAATTTATAATCATTCCTTTTTCCCCCCCTTCTCAATGGAACAATAAAAAGCAGGGATGAAAATTTGATAGGTTATATAAATTGCTTATATGAAAATGAAAACCATCTGGCATGCAATTATTCTTTGCTAATTTAGTGGATTTTACTTTCTATTCTATTGAGCATTCTCTTGCAGAAGCAACTACAACAAAAGAACAATTGATGGAGGAAAGTAAAATAAAGAAGGTTGACCTTGAGGTTGGTTCTGAAAATTTTGTATCATGTTTTTGATGTCTTTGACTCTGCTGGAGGTTGAATGTGCATTGAGTTAGGCAAGATATAGAACAGGGTAGGGATTCAAGTTGTTCACTTTTTCCATATAAAAAGTTATGATCTATTGTGGAGTGGTTGCTTTGCATTGTAAACTTCTACAAATTTCTATACCTACTGACAGAAGAATACAATTTTAGCAGTTGTTTGGGAAAGAAACTATGAAGTTTCTCTTGAAAATTAGGTCACCTGCATCACAGCAAGACACCACCAAAGTTATAACTCCAACTGCATCAAAACAAGATATATTCTTAATGCTCTCCATCTGCCTCAAGATGGAATGTCTGATGTCAAATAGAGGAGCGACACGAACATCGACACGTGTCGGGGGAACCCAGTTTTCTCATAGATGACGGTACCGCCTCCAGACATAAACTATGTCTATCTGATATATTTATGTATAGTATTTTGTCACAAAGATGATTGGTTTCATAGAAGTTCATTGATGAAATCAAACTTAGATATATGATTTGTAGAATATAATATAAACAAGTCTGTGGAGGAGTAAGTTGGTAGAGATGGGAATTGGGCAAATCTATGAGCATCAAAGATAGGTTTGAATTTAGGTATATTATGATCACATTTGTACATGCAATGGTTGAATAACAAACCCTTTTGAATAAATTAAGTAGTCCCATGGATTTATCTATAAAGCAAACACATGGGTGGGGGGCTACTTAGAATTGTGAGCTAGTTTGGTGAAAAATGACAGAACAATCATATGTGGAGAGACATAAGATCAAAGTTAAAGATACAATTGTTGGGCATGAGCTTTTAAAAAGTAACCAATTGGGTCTAAAGAGAACATTAGAATATTGAATATCCAAAGATTTGGACAACTTTGAATTGTCTTTTTCCATCTTCTTCAACTGCATCCATTAAGGGCAGAAAGTTCCAACTTGCATGTGGTACTAAGTTATTATAAGGCAATGTATGTAAATTCCTTAACAAAATACTAAAAGTAGGCCTTTCCTTCTCTCTCGCTCTCTCTTTTACCCCTCATTTCTAGAATAAGAAAGGAAAAAAAAAACAAGTTATATTTTAACATAATGTTTAATTTGATCATTAAATAGGGGTTTGATTGCAGACATCCTGTGTACTGAAAAATGCTAGTTTTATTGCACATTTATCATGATATGACTAGGTAGATGTTGGTCAAACAGAGGATGGTAATAATTTGGTGGAATTTAAGAAAGGTTACCTCAACTTGTTCAAAACCAATCTCCAAAAAGGGAACTTTAAGTCAAAAAAAGGATGTGATCCAAAGACAACAAAATAATAAATGTTGGAGATCTCATTGTTTTTTCTTACCTCACGTGAACTTTGAGAACCATATTTTAGTATTAAAAAAACTAGGCGAAGAAATGGGCGGAGCAAAAAATTTTCTTAGAGAGGGGCGAAATAAGGAAAAACTATTTACATACACTTATTGAATTACGACGAAATTAGAGGGAAGCAAATATGTAGCTTTGACGATATTGTGTTGGTTAAGAAACCATATATTGAATCATGTGGAGCCAAAAATGTTCTTAGAGATGGGCAAACCAGAGGAGGACTACAAAATCTTAAGTATTTTATATACGCTTTTTGAATTACGACAAACTAAGGGGAGACAATTGCCGTCCTCTTTCCTTCTTCAATCAGTCTCTGTCTGAAGATGATAGGAGGAGAGAGATGGAAACAATGTGTAGGTTTGACGACATTGTTTTGGTTACGAACCATATCTTGAATCGTCTCACGTGGAGGGCGAGGAGTGGAGTGAATCAGAGTGTGAAGGCCATGGTAGCAAAAGGGACAAACAGCAAGAATAATACATGGGCCAAAGGCTGTCTAGGGAGGCTACATAACAAGTCAAGGTGAAAGAAGAAAGAAGAAGAGAGTGGGGAACAACTAAGCCATGTTTACAAGTGTGGGGGGCAAGGTGTGGCCAAACCATCTGGATATTTGAACTCTTAACTTCGTTTTGTTCCTGCCCTTCTTATCAATGGAGGTCCCAATTAACAGGACTTGTCAATTTTTCTCTGTCAAGTTATGTACAACTATATGAAACAAAAAACCAGCTATTCTTTTGTCCAATCTATTCCAACTCCAAACAACTTCAAATGGACCATTCTACCTATCTTTGTTGCCCAACCCCTTGATTGCAACACTTGAGTTGTTGTTTTTGCTGGTTTAGTCTTGAATAGTGTTCAATTTCTCTCTGATATAACATTCAAAAAGATGAAAAGAAAGAAACCCATTTGTTCATCTTTGTTGATCTTTTCACTTGGAAGAGAGAAAAGGAAAAAATGGTCATTTCAAGAGTGAATGCTGAAGTAAATTTGTGGGAGTTGTCTGTCTGCTCACTGTTATGATTTCAGAAAGGAAATAGCAACAATAACAAAAGGACATTTGCTTCCTTTCCAGTTCATTTTTTCTCATCATTTAAGTTTAAATTTCTTTTGCAACTGTTGGTTTTTATTAGCCATTGAAAACAGAGGAAATGCCATTTTCCAAGGAGCTGGATTTGCCAATTGGGATAAGGCACAGCAATTTTTATGGAACCAAATAATTGAGTTTGTATTGAACAAAAGGAAAAAAACAATCAAACAAACAAACAACCACGTTCTTCAACCTGAAAATATTAGTCACAATCCTGCTTTCTGAGGGCCTGAACCCTGCAAATGGAAAGAAGACAGAAAAAATCAGACATCTCTCTTATTTTTTTGCTTTTTCTTTTTTTGTGTGACAAAACTTTTTCAGGTTGTTCACTCTGGAAACCTAACTCCAAGTTGGGTTTGTTGCATTTTTTCCCCTCTCAAGGTGAAAATATATTAAACAGGAAAAAAAAAAGACGAAAAAACAAAGGGAAGAACCAACAGGAAAGAAGAAAAAAAAATGAAGGAAAAAAAGGAATTTGAAGGTGAGGTTGTGAAGAGGTCCATTTCATCTCCATCCTATTTAAGAACATGAGTCATATATTCTCTCTAGTGTTGTAGCCCTGAGGCAATCCATCTCTCTGCATTTAAAGCTACCTTTTCTAATTATGACAGACTGCAGAGAAGAGTTAAGATGATTGCCATCTTCTCTTAAGAGCCCCAATGACCAAATGAACCAACCCCCCATGTCCTTTCAAATTCAACAAACTTTAGCATGTATACCTTTTGTAAATAAGAAGGATTTCCCTTTCATTGACACCCTTCTAGCTGTCTTCTGCTCAGTGAAAAGTCAGACTATTTATTTGCCTTTGAATTTCCAGGTGGTGCAGTAAGGGTTTTTTATCCAGCCATTAAAGACTTGGTATTTTTTTCTTTTCTTTTTTTGTTTTGTTTTGTTCCTTCTCCTCCTCCTTCTCTTTTTAAAGAAATTTTTTTTGGGTTTTGTAGAGAAACCTGTTTGGGTCAGAGAGGTAGCAAAAGGGCATGAATGGTTCCCTCAGGTGTCTAAATTCAAGAACCTCCCCAAATTCTGTTATTGATTCTTCTTCTTCTTCTTCTTCTTCTTCTTCTTCTTCATTTTGTTGCCTAAAGTTATGGAGCCTTCCCAAATTTTTGGAGTTGCAGAAGAATGTCACAGCAGTGAATCTGGTTGGACTATGTATATTGGATCTCCTGCAGGTGGGTCTAGTGATGCTGATGCTGATGCTGCACCTTCTGGTGATGATGGAGAAGATGAAGATGAAGATGAAGATTGCTATGGAAATAACCAAGATGAGAGTGATGATTCCATGGCTTCTGATGCTTCTTCAGGCCCAAGCCATCAAGTGGGGCACCCATTTGGAGGAAATGGGAGGGTGAAGAATCCCAATCCCCATGGCTTGAAGCAACAGAGTGAGGTCAAGTTTTGCTTTGAAACCAAAACCAAGAAGCCATTAATGGAGAAGCAGAGAGCTGAGAGGAAGGAAGTGAAAGAGAAGTTGGTTTTGGTTGGCCAAAAGCCAAAGACTTCAGTTCAGAGCAGTTCAAAGGTGAGAAAGAGCATCTGGATGGGCAAAAAAAACTAGCCAAGCTGGTTTTTTTTTTCTTCTTCTTCTTCTTTTTTTTCATCTGGGTGTTTCATTTATGTTTTCTTGCACTTGGAAAATATGAGCTGTATCCTTTTGAAGAACAATGTTTTTGCAACAATCAGTTACTATGTTTTCCTCTACATACATTTTTTGTGGTTTTTTTTTTTTTTTTTTACTTTTATAGTGTAAGAAGAGACTATATACAAGAATCCAGACAAAAAAACTGCGGTGGTTGGATGAACTTTATAAGATGCATATTTGGATATTTTTTCCATATGGGTTTTTATTTCTTTTGTACTAAAAAACAGTGTCTAAATTTGCCTGAAAAAGAGCACAGAGTATTTGCTTTTGGGTCAATTCTTGAATCTCACTGAACCAGAAAAGAAACTGAACACATTCACTTCCTTTTGGGATTTCTTTTTCCTCTTTTTTTCCCCAAACTTTTTGTGTAAATGCACTGTTTTTGAGCTATTTAGCTACATATGGTTGGACAGCTTCAGAAGAACAAGAACTTCAAAATTCTTTTGCAGATTGGTCCATATGGCTTTTTTTTTTGGCGTAGTTTTCTGCTTGAGTTACTTTTACATTGAAAATTAAAGTAGTTGAATTGAAGTGACATTTATGGACAACAAAAATTGGATTGTTCTAATGGCCAAACTGGATTTCAATCTCTGACATCTAAGAACTCAACAAGATTCAACGTTCAAGTGAATGCTCATCTATGAAAAGTTCTCCATTTTTCCCCCTCTTTTTTGCCCCATCAGTAAGTTGGAGTTCTCCCTTTCTCTTTTTTCTGTCAAAGAAAAAATAAATCATAATTTTCAGAAAAGGCTCTCTCTGGACTACATTTCATAAAAAAAAAATGGTATCTTTTGAGACAATTACTCGTAGTCAACCACAAATATTCACGTGACGTAATTATTTATGACATATGCACTCTTCAAATTCTACGTCATCGATGAATGGCGTCAATGTGAGAAGTTGGTTAAAGTATCGAGAAATACTTGAAACTCGAAAGTTTAAATCTTCACCTCCATATCCACTAAAAGAATGAGCTTATTTATTTAATCTTAAAAAACACATCAATAATATATTTTTCGTGTCTTTGTTTAATAAAAGAAAAAAACATTTTTGTTTAAATCATGGGACTCGATTCAAAATCCCATTAAAATTGCTGTTAAAAAAGACATGTCAAGATTCTTACTCAACGACCTAAATATATAAGATGTATCATATTATATAGTTTTAAAAAAAAAATGAGATACAAAGTGTTGTGATTTATTTAAAATGTCAATGTTTGAATATTTTGGTAAAATTTATATATGTGTGTGTATGAAAGAAGGGCATGGTTGGTGGCAGTGGGGGGAGGCTTGGTGGCGCACGTGGGGAGAGAGGAGAGAGGAGAGAGAGAGATTGAGATTGAATTTGAATATCAATAATTTATGGGGAGATATTGACAATTCTACATAAATGAGGGGCCAAGTTGAAGAGTAATGCTTCCCCATACCCCTACAACTGTGCTTTTTCCTTATAAGTGTTTCCTCACCATCCCCTTTCACTCCAATATCACTCTTCCCTTTCTTATTCCTGCACTTTTGTTCTCATTCCTTCAATATATTCTCATTTTTCGAGATGATCCGAACATAGTTCAAGCAGTCAAAATATCAATAAGTAGTGATATTAACGTCTTTATTGAATTGTACTTGTAGCTTTGAGTTGTATCTTCTTCGTTGGTAATGTAATATTGAAAAATATAAAGAATAATTTAAACTTTACGATTAAAATATTTGCTTGTTAATTATACCGTTTGAATTGAAGGAACAACGTCTGATAGGTAGTTTCATAATATTAGTTTCTACGAGTTTACTTTAGGTAAGATATATAAAATATCTATCTTATCTTATCCAACTAAAAAAGTTGGATGAAGTCAGATTTTGATTTTTAGTTAAAGCTAGTTGGATTTATTAATCGTAAATAGCATGTATTGATTAAAGAAAATTCTTACCTTCCTTTGATATTGTTAAAATTTTAAAATATTTTTTTTAACAAAGTACAAAGAAGAATGACAATAATATCTAAATTTAGCGGTGTGTTGATAAATAGTCAAATTTTATGACATTGCTAATATGACAACTTTTACGTATATGGTGTTGTATTTGATTATTTCAAAATGGCTAAAATACCCCAAAATAGAATCTAAGAAAATTAGTTCAAATATTAAAAGTATATAGAAAAAATTGAAGTTGTTCAAACAGAAGATGTTTCCTTTTTTTTCCCCCTTTTAATGTAGGGAAATGACTTGCTAAAAAAAGTAAGAAAAAAGGAAAAGAAAAAGAAAAAACAAACAAACGTGAATAAAGTATGGGCCTAGGAAGCGTATGTAAAATGATGGGCTTTTTAAGAGGAAACAACTACGGGCCGGCCCAAACCATTCTATAGGCCAGTTTCACAATTCTTTCACTGACTCGGGCCCAATTGTAGAAGCACTTTCGTTGAGTTGGGCTCGTTTTGGCCTCTCCTAATTTTAGAGCAAAGAACATTCTATTTTTATCTTGTTTTATTTCAGTAGTTTTAATTATTAAAATTAATCCAAATATGTGATAAGAAATATTAAATGTATTAACAATATTGTTATTGAGACATATAAAAAGTAATAAAAACAACATTTCAATGGTATGTTCTATAAGGTCGTACTAAAATTTTATAACTTCATATAATCTCTCCTTTGTGTACATCATTCATTTAAATAAAACATGTCATATCATATGATACAATTATCCATTTAAAATTTTTTAATCCATAACATAAATTAATACGTATTTTACTTCATCAATTTATTTTATATTTTTCTAAAGTTGAACATTATTTTTTCAAATACAACATAAATGTAGTTTTTATGTGTAAAATTCCATATGAGGATTTTGATTACAATATCTTTGTACAATTTTCAAACAATATACTGTACTTTAAAATATTTATTATTTCATGCTATTTAGGTAGATATTTGTTATAATTCTTTTAAACCAATTTTTGTCCCATTTGGTTGGCAATATTAAAAATGTTTGAAAGATTTAAATGAACAAATTAGTACCAGCTACCAAATATGTCGATTAAACTTGTTATCTCTAAACTTAAAAAATTGTAATATTTATTTAAGGCAATTTATGCTAGCTATTACAATTATATATATTATTTAAAATTGAACTTTTTCTTTAGGAAAAAACGTAATTTTCCACAAATAATATAGAAGAGGACATAAATCAACCAACAACGTTTGTCATCCGAACGGTTAATAAATATCACTTTAAAAAATGAAAGATTTTCCTTTTTGAATGATCACGCTTTTGTTGCTGCGTTCAATAAGCTGAGAAGACTGGGAGTGGAGAAAAATTGGTTGGCAGGAGAAATGGCGAAGCTGCTTCTCTATCTTCAAGCTCCTCACATGGCTTCCTCCATCAATCGTGGAGCCATCTCTTTCGTACTCTCCAAACCAAAGCAATTTCTCTCTTCTACTTCTTCCATACAATGCCGCTTCGCCTTCGCTCTCGCTCTCTCTCCTTCCCCTTTTTCAAGACGCCACTTCTCGGTTCGAGCATTCGAAGATTCTGCGTCCGGCACCAACAGCGTGGAAGCACAAGAACCAGACGCTGCAAACGAGGCTCCGATGAGTGGCCAGAGCTTCGGGGCTCGTGACGAGGAGTATCCAACCGGAGAATTCGAGTTCGAGAAATTTGGTCCGTGGAAGAGCTTCTTGGTGAAGCTTAAGATGCTGGTTGCCTTTCCTTGGGAGCGCGTTCGCAAGGGCAGCGTCTTGACTATGAAATTGCGCGGGCAGGTTTATGTTTCTTCTTTCTTGCTTGCTCGTATCTTTAATTCATAAACAAACTGTTCGCGTCAGTGGATTATTGATTTGTTCTTCGCGCTCTCACTCAAAATGGATGTTGGTAATGGTAGCAGCTGGAAATAGTGATTTCGGTTTAATGTCCCACTCCGTCCATTAACAATTAGCTAAGAAAACACATCAATTTGCTGGAATAAAATGGGTGTGGAGTGGATCGTTCACTATTCGTGCTTCGCAGCTGGGAATAGTGTTTGCGTTCAACGTTCCACTATTAGCAATTAGCTACGGAAACACTTCATTTATTGCTGGATTAAAATAGATGTTGCGCTATTCAAAGCTGGAAATAGTGTTTGGTTAAGTAATTAGCTACGGAAACAGTTAACTTTTTAAGTGTTGACGCCTTCTTCCTCCTCCTTCAAGTTTCTTTAAAATAATTTTCAATGTATGTGTCAAATTTTGGAGTTGAGATTGCTCTTTCTCATGTTCAGATATCTGATCAGCTAAAGAGCCGTTTCTCTTCAGGGCTTTCTCTACCTCAAATATGCGAGAACTTTGTCAAAGCAGCATACGATCCGCGTATTTCTGGGATTTATTTACAAATTGAAGCACTAAATTGCGGGTGGGGTAAAGTTGAGGAAATTCGAAGGCATATACTGAATTTCAAAAAATCAGGTAGTGCGATTCTTCTCAACATCAAAAGTGACTTTTTGTATCTGATGAATGTCTTAACTGCATTGACCTTACGGGGGTGTAGGATACGAGGTTATGCATTCTGGTAACTTTAATTAATGTGATTAATCCGGCGAATTTCATGCAAATAGCTGAGTGAATTTCTTGGGGGCACTGCTGCATGCACATATATGTCTCTTTTTGGTTCCATCTTCTATCTTTCTGCATTTGTTGTATTGTTATAATTTAAAGAGAGAAGCATATAATTTCCATAATTTATAACATGGCAGATTCAAAATTTGACCTGCAAGTAAATAGGGGATGAAATACAAGGGGATCCTAACTAGTAACTCTTACTTCTTTAGTGGGTAGAAATTTACTGCAGAGACGGACAAAAGTTATTGGAAAACCTAGGTTTCACTTTGTTCTTATTTTATGAATATAGAAAATTAAAAAGGAGCTTTCTCTTAATAAAGGGATTTTTTTTGTTTGTTTGTTTGTTTAATATCAAACAGCTGCTTTTGTAATTTATATTTACGATTTGCCAAGGGGTGAAACCAACAAATTCAATTTGTATTGGCTTCCAGGTAAATTCATCGTTGTCTATATTCCTACATGTCAAGAGAAAGAATACTACCTGGCATGTGCATGCGAGGAGATATATGCCCCTCCAAGTGCTTATGTTTCTTTGTTTGGTTTGACTGTTCAAGCTTCATTTCTCAGGGGTAAGTTGACTTCTTTTCTCTACTTTTTCTGGCTCAAACTTTACTCTTAAGAGGTTGAACGAGGTGTTTTCTTTTCAGGCATTTTTGATAAAGTAGGGATTGAACCTCAAGTGGAAAGGATAGGTAAATATAAAAGTGCTGGTGATCAACTAGCACGGAGGAATATGTCAGAAGAAAATTGTGAAATGTTGACGACTTTGCTAGATAATATTTATGAGAATTGGCTGGATAAAATTGCTTCAATAAAAGGTACTTTTAAGTTTACATGAAACTTTGCTTGATGACATATATGAAAATTTGTTAATTAAACTAATTTTCAAACATTTGTTTCTGTTATTTTGATAGGAAAGAAAAAGAATGATATTGAAAGTTTCATTAACGAAGGAGTATATCAAATAGAAAAACTAAAAGAAGATGGTTGGATCACCAACATACAATATGATGACGAGGTATTGAATGTCCTCATCCT